AATTAATAACAATACGGCATTTATTGCGGCAATATTCTCAGCCAGCACTGGTCCAGTGCTGCGCCAGCGCTGTCTGGCAGCACTGACAGACAGTACTTCGGCAGCGCCAGACGGCGTTATCATCCCAGTGCCATGCCAGTGCTGGCTCTCAGCCTTGCCGCCAGTGCTGCCAGTGCTGGCGCAGTACTACGCCAGTTGTAAATTTCCCATTGGGTACTAAACATTGAAAGGAATAATACACCGAAAAAAACTATTTTCAATTTTAGACGATTCCTCTTCTTTTGCAGCATTTTTTATTCCTCTCACATATGGGCACTAAATTTTTCCTTTCTAATTGAGAGGATTTTCCTCTTTTATATTGTACTTTACTAAATTTCATGTTATTTCATTTCTCTGTAAAAATTTTGGTTGGTTGCACTTTTTCCCCAAATTGTAAAATACTTTTACAAAATTGTATATATAATATATTTTCTTTCCGTGTATAAGAATATTATTATAGTAAATTCTTAAAAATTATTATCTTCATCATTTCAATTCAATTATTATCTTCTACAATTTTGAATTATTTTTTATGAAAATAATTAAATTCCTTAAAAAATATTTTATTATTTATGAAAATATGTAAATGTTTGCGGTACAATTTTATTAAAATTGTTTTTAAATAATTGAATTTTTTTGGAAAATTTTATTAAAATAGTAGATATTAAAAATCGTTGAGTTGAGGAAATTTTTTGAAAATAATTTAAATTAGGACAAGAATTTTATTGACATTTTTGAAAATAATTGAAGTTTGGGGAACAAATTTGTTTTTTATAAAGATAGGTAATTGGAATTTTGACGAGAATTTTTTTTTAATTTTGAACATAATTGAATTTTTTGCGAAGAACTTTATTACTTATGAAAATAATTGAATTTCTGCAATTATTTGTAATTTCTCCAAAATTGTATTTTTTTTAGTGTTTTCAAAAAATATTTCAATTAAAAATTTGTAAAATCTATTATTTTTAAAATTGCTAATTTTATTTAAAAAAACAAGGAAGAAGTTAGCGAATTTTTTTCTAGTAACAATAAATAACCAAGATACATTTATGACGATAAAAAAATGAAAGAAAATATTATCAATAAGTAACATTAAAGATTTCTTTGCATGTTTTAAATAATAATTTAAAAAATAGCTTTTTAAAACTTAAGTTATTGAGAGATTCTCTTATATAACAGAGTCCAATTTATTCTGCATAGTCTAGCGCCTCTTATTATAAAAGACCGCTACATTTTGCAAGTTCGGTGTGAAGGCCTTTTATGAATTGATTCATTAATATTTTTGAAGTAAAAAAAATTAAATAAGTAAAGAGGAATCTCTGTTTTGAAAATTGATTAAAGTAAGTTACCCATAAAAATCTGTCTACGAGATACAACATTAAAAAGATTTTTCAGAAAAAGCAGGTTTCTGTATCAGGAGAGTTCTGTATCCATACATGAAAAAGAAGCTTAAGTGAGAAATGGATTCGGATTGCTAACTTCGCCCATCTTTGAAAAATAATATTTATTAAATATAACATTAATTTATAAATTACAATATACAGCAATCCTTATTTAAACATTATGACTCAGTGATTAATATATATCAGTTACTATATATATACTCTCGTCTACTCAATATCAATTTTAATTAACTGAATTTAATTGTGAAACTAATTAGGTAATATTATATGTTCTCAGATATAGGAAATTAATGCAAGAGTAAGTACATTAAATTAATAACAATTATTATGTAATTTAAACTAATATACTTTAATTTTGAAAGTAGCATTTAACAGCAAAATCTTTAAAACTTATGTACATAATATAATCGAACAATTTCTTGCTGCATAGTTTCCTGATTTTTAAATATTAATAAAAGATTTAAATTTTATAAATAAGTGCTCAAGCCGATTCTTTAAACTTCATAAATATAAGAACAGTTGTAAATACATTTAGAGATCCAGCAAACGGAACGGCGAAAGTGCGAAAATAAACGAATTTTCTATACGATTATTTTTATTAGTTTAACCTGAAAAATGCTTCTATTTCAACTTGGTTACATAATTCCATTTGTTTTACATGTTATAAACTCTTGGTTCGAATGTAAAATTAATTTAAAATCGTTTAAAAAAATGAAACGAGATCTAAATGCATATCCTTTTAAATAAAATCCAGAATTATTTGCAATTTTCGCTTAAAATATTTTGATTCATTCCTATATTACAAATATTATTTTAGTGTATAAAAAAACATTTTTTTTCATCTTTTTCTAAAAAAAAAAAAATTTTTACAAATGTTTATAAAAGAATGTTTGAATTAAAGAAATGTTCTCATATGACGTTTCTGCGATTCAAGGAAACTACACAGTTTTAAATTCTTTACGAGAATATTTCATTAACAATGAAATCTTAATACGTTTTGGTTTGCTGCAGCAAAAGTTTTAAAATAGTTTTTAGGAAGGCAATAAAAAATTTATTTAACATTCTCTGGCATATTGATTGTAGAGTTTGAAATTGCAATATTGATGAATAAAGTCAGCTACCAAATGAAATTTATTCTCAAAAAATCTTTCCGCATGTGTATTAAAATTTTAGATTTTCAACATCGTGAGGGTTTTGAATATACGAAACTTTATTTTATAAACAATGCATTGAGGATAAATAGAAAAAAAATATATACTACGAGTACATATTTCCAATATACAAAAATATCAGCTTTTATTACAACAATAATAAATTATTTGTTGATATTTAACCTAATTAATAAATCACTTATTTTAATTTTAACAAAATTTTCTCAAAATATTTATTTTTAATTAAAAATTATTCAGTTTGGATAAATTCAATAAATATTAAATTTAGTTTTTTAGTTTCATAATTTGATTTTAATATTTAAATGACTATAAATAAAGTTTAAAAAATTTTGAAAAGTAAATTGATGTATATATAAAAATATATTGTTGACAATTAAATTTACTTTTTAATGGAGAACAAAAAAGAGAACTTCCTTTATTTAGCATTAAATCAACCAGGATCATTATTTGCAGATGAAGTTTTTGCGCGACATAAATGTTTTTCGCTTTAGTTTTCATGTTGAAATACATAATTTACCATTGTCGGTAAACATATAATATGAATAATAAAATTACCATACCAATGAAACAATGAAACGTTTTCCAAAAGGGGAAATAATTTTCCAACTTGGCTTGCACAGAATAAGAAACAGAATAGTAAATATAGTACTTCAGATGCTTTCACACGTTCCTTACATAAGGTAAAGTCATCTTAATGCCAGGATTCGCTTATAAAGGATTAAAATGTTCTTCTATGCATATACGTACACGTTCGCAGTATTAGGGAACCTTTGAATCGCAAATATCAAAGTAACGATAATTAAGGTAGATAAGGAGGAATATTACAAAATGTCAGCAAAATGAATAAGGGTATTTTAATTTTTCTCTTTCTAAAATTAATGTCAGTCAATATATTCAACTAAAAATTGTGATATTTTTAATAAAAATTGAAATTATTTACTAAACTTTTATAATTTTGTACTTGACGAGAATTTTTCAGCATTGTTTAGTTTGAGTAACAGCAATAGATATTAAAATATAAAAATCATTTTATCACTCGGTTGATTTAATGATTAAAAATGTTGAGATTGACGAACACTCCGGGTCATACGCGGACCTTGACTCGGAGTAATATTTAGTTTTTTTCTCAATAATAGATAATTGGAATAAATAATTATGATCTAAAAGACGTAAATTTTTTTAAAACTATGGTACTAGAATAAGATATAGAATTATTTACATATTGATTTAAAAATAACTAACTTACATTTTATAAAATAGAAGAGATTTTTTTCTGAACATAAAAACGTTTCGTTGGTTTTTGCTAATGACAGTTGACAAATGAATTTGAAATGATTTTTCTTTTTCAAGATGTAATAAACTAACTTCATTGTTATATACCTAGTAAATAAATTATTTTTCATTCAGAACCTTTCGAATTCAGGTGAAATATTTGGTATTAAATTTTAAAGTAGTTAAGTTAAAAAAAATGTCTGCAACAAATATAAATTGAAAATTAAATATTAAAAATGTATTGTGTCTAGAAAAATACAAAATAGTGAATTGAAAATGTTTTTCGAAAATAAAAATTGCATTGATTTAGCTGCCATGGAGGAATAGCATATTAATATAAAGGACTATTGACATTTTCATATTTTATATTTTGCAGTAAAATAAACTGCATTTGAAAAAATGTATACGTATATCACATGAAGTTTAAATCGCAACTGTTGCATGAACTTTTACGAATTCCATTAAAGCATAAATGACTCATGAATAATAAGAATTCATGTCAGTATAAGTTTCATGAAAGAGTAAAATAGTTTATGTCAAGTTTTGAAAATCCCCTTAAGGACATTTTGATTTTATTATATTGTTTTTCTGATCCACAAACCGCGCTTTTACTATACGTAATATACTTTCTGATAAAACTTTGTCTACAGGCAACAAAATTTTTCTGCTTACAATAAATTCCGATAATCACTGATTTTTTAAAACTCACATTACACAACACAAATATAGTCAAAATAAATTAATAAAATCCGTTATTAATTACAAACAATATTCATATAAATTGTACTTATTTTTGAAAAATTTTAGTAGAGAATAAAATAATTTCGTTATGGTGGATTTAATAAAAAGGGAAAATTTTTTATATTATTCAAAAATTATTTTTAAAAATAATTTGGAACAAATTAATAAGATAAAAAATTAATTTTTAATGCTTGAGAATTTAAATTTAGTTTCATACTTTGTTGTTTAGTTTAAAGCTAATGTTTCACAATAAATGAAAAAGTTCCTTTTAAATTTTGAAAAATGAGTTAAATAATTTTAATTATTATTAATAAAAAATTTTTGACATAATTTCTTAAAAACAATACTATAGAAATTTTATCATTTTTTTTACCTATCGAAGGATCATTCAGCCCGAAAATCATGGTAGCAAAGGAACACACTGTGAGCGCGAGCAAGAGCATTGCGGTATCGACGACGCGTCTACGTAAACTGGCTTCTCGTATAACGTATACTCATGAAAGCAGATCTTTTGCCGCCAATCCATTTGGCGCAAGCGCTTGTTCTTAAACGAAGCTACTTCATTTTTTTACACTTGCACTATCTTTCACTGAGGGGTAAAAGCTGCCCTTTACAGGAACATGACATTTTCCTATACCCCCTACTAACATAACGTAATGTTTTGATTCATGTGTGTTGTATAATACACATACATACAATTCTGATCCAAGGGAGAAAAACTGACTTCTAATTCGCGTTCAGCGTATTAAGAGAAGGGTACTCTGATGTGACCTACAAGATCCTTTGTTAGTCTCCACAAAAAGAGCGGAGAAAGAAAATATTTACTATAAGCAAAACAAAGTAGAGATTAACCATTAGAATCGCACCAATTGCACTCAATTTTCGCTTAATTACTTCATAAGCATAAGTCCAGTACCAATTTGTTTACATACAAACAAGTTTCGCACCTTGTCGTGATGGCGGAGCTTTTCACTACATTACAACAAAATATCAAGAATCGGATCAACAAGTTCAGATGCTCCTCATGTGAGCTGCACACTTTATTTTGACAGATGCTAAACAATTGCTCCCGTTTTGTTTTTCTATTGCTTTTTTGAATAGGTATAATAAAAAATCTCTTCTGATTATTTGTGTCAGGAAGCACTTTCATTGATGAATTGAAATCTCCAACTATTCAATAAAAGTGAAAATATTCAGTCACTCAAATTTGCGCATGAAAAATTTGACAAGAGAAAAGAGAGCAGAATAATTTACAAGAATCAGTGATCTGAAAATCCGACCGAAAAGAGTGTAATGCATATGACGGGTTCCACGTCAAGTGACCCAGGTCAAAAATTTACATGGAATATTTGAAAAATTTGTAGTTTCTGTAAAACAAAACGAAAATACGTTTTCTATTTTGGGTTTTGCTGCTGTTTTTCAACACTTTCTAATAGTGTGAACAAATGTAGAGAAAAAAAATTATTTGACCTTGAAAAATTAAATTAAAAAATAAAATTTCATTTTTTTATCAAATGGGCAGTTTTTATTTTTTTAAAAAAAAATTTATCATAAAGGTGAGGTTTTTTCCTAAAAAAAATATATAGGTCAAAACGTGGGACAAGAACTTTTAACTGGTCAAATTAAGCATTTACTTCTGCCGTGCACCGTCCCACAGTGGAATTTTTTTTACAATTTACTATTAAAAAATGTCTATAGCTTACAATTTTTAACCGATTTGAGTGTTCTTTGTCTTAAATTAAAGGGGAATAAATTCTTAAGACATCCTTCGAGGCCGATTCTGGAGATTTTAATTATTTATAATTTTTTTTAAATCAAAGTTAACAAATTAATACACTTTTTTAAAAAAGGAGGTTTATTTTCTTATTCCGTTGATGCACGTGATCTAAATAAATTTAAATTCATCCAATATGACCACCAGATAATTAATAAAGCATAAAATAATTTATTTCAATTGTTATAAACAATATATAGCCCAACAACGAGCAGGGGCGGTGGATTGCAGAAGTAAATGTTTATTTTGACCAGTTAAAAGTTCTTGTCCCACGTTTTGACCTATACATTTTTTTTAGGAAAAAACCTCACCTTTATGATAAAAATTTTTTTTTAAAAATAAAAACTGTCCATTTGATGAAAAAATGAAATTTTATTTTTTAATTTAATTTTTCAAGGTCAAACATTTTTTTTCTCTACATTTGATTACACCATTAGAAAGTGTTGAAAAACAGCAGAAAACCCCAAAATAGAAAACGTATTTTCGTTTTGTTTTAAAGAAACTACAAATTTTTCAAATATTCCATGTTAGACCAAAAATTTAAACTTTGACCCCCTCCAGTTTTTATATTTGTTTAAATAAATTAATAATATTTGGTATTTTTAATTGTATCTAATAGGACTACTGTTTTTGCAAAATTTTTACCCGATCCCAAACATTTAAAATTTTGACCTGGGTCACTTAACGTGGAACCCGTCATATATTTATAAATATATATATATATATATTCTATATATAGAAAAAAATGCGAATGGTAAAAACAACCACATATGAGTAGTTACCCCCACAGCACCGAAATTATCCTAAAAATTTATTAAATATTTACTTGCAATATTCGGAAGATTTAATTGCAATGTTTATTGAAAATTGTGTAAAGATTTAAATGTCCTGATTAAATAAATGTTTAGCGCGAAACTTTCCTGAACATTTCAATAAAATCTTCGCCTAATTATAATTATAACTAGGCGAAAATATCATTTAAATGTTCAGGAAATTGTCACACTAAACATTTATTTAATCGAGACATTTAAATCTTTATAAAATTTCCACTAAACTTTTCAGTTAAATATGCCGAACATTGCAAGTAAATATTTAATAAATTTTTAGGAAAATTTCGGTGCTATGGGGGTAGAAAAAAAGTAATTAAAACTATCATATTCAGCAGCATTTTAACTACATTTCCTCAGTTAGTGGAACTAAAATTAAGTAGTTGGTTTTATGTAGTTAAAATTACCACTTTATATAGTTGAAATAACTAGCAGATGGTTGTAAATGACTCAGAAATAGTGCAGTAATAAAAGATACTGTTAAAAATAGTTAATTTCACTATTGTGCTAGTAGAAATAACTATTTTGTATTAGTTACGAACAAAACTAAAAAGAATTCGATTTTTTAAAATTAATCGTTGGATAAGTGTGATATCTTTTTACAGCCTACCATATTCAATTTTTAATCCCCACCTCTATCTCAAAACCAACCTCTAAGCTAAATCAACATATTAAATATTGCCCTATTATTTCTTGTTTTTTATAAAACTTCGTTTATAAAGGTTTTTGGGGTCGCTAATTACAGATCTGAAGTCAATTTTTAGAAATTCAAAATGGCATATCCAAAATGTCGGACAAATTTAAAAAAAATTATTTGATTTTTATAAAAAGTTTTTTAAAAAATTTAAATTTAAAATTTCTGACAAATTTAAAAAAAATTAATATTACTATAAAATTGAAATTTATTATATTCCGAATTTTAATATGGATCTGTATTCCTTATTTCTAAAACTAATTTTGTATTAACGATAGAACTAGTTTTGAAGATAAGGAACACAGATCAAAATTTTAATTCGGCATATTATAAATTTCAATTTCATAAAAATCTAAATTTTTTTAAATTTGTCCGAAATTTTGAATTTTATAGAACTAACTTCAAATTCATATTCCACAAGTCCGAAATAACCGTGTTTATCAAGTGTTATAAAAATCGGATGATTTTTTAAAAAACTTCCGCCATTTTGGGTATGCCATTTTGAATTTCTAAAAAATGACTTCAAATCTGTAATTATCGACCCCAAAAACCCTTATATAGGAAGTTTTATAAAAATCAGAAAATCATAGAGCAATACTCAATATGTTGATTTAGCTTAGGGGTTGGTTTTGAGATAAGGGTTGGGGTTAAACATTGATTCAATAGGTCCTCAACTGAATTTAAAAAGCTATATTGACTACAGCAAAGTAGTAAAAAGAACTAAGAATGTTCTTTTTAAATAGTAAGTTTAATTTTTTCTGTAACTAGTAAAAAGTGGATAATTTTACTACAGAAATTCTGAAAATGACTATTTTTAACAGTACTTTTAACTATTGCATTATTGTTGAGTCATTTAAAATCATATACTGGCTATATTTCAACTAAGTCCTTAAGCTGGAAAAATTAGTTACTGCAACTAAATGGAGTTGTTAACATGACTGAATATAAGAAGAATGTCCTGAAGTACAATGCCAGTCATCGTAGCGTGCGTGCGGCATTTAGGGATTTTTCTCTGTTAGGTAGGTAGGTAGGTAGGTAGGAAGAAAATATAAAAAAATGGACCTCAATAATAATAAAAAACAAATAAATAATTTCATTTCACTACTTTAAATAGTTAATTTAACTATTTTTTACAGTTGTTTCAACTACAATTTGTTACGGGCGACTATAGGAACTATGAAAATGTAGTTACTACAACTAAATGAAGCAGTTAGTATGATTAAGAACAAATAGTTAAGATAACTGTTTTAGTAGTTAAATTTACTGTAAAAAATGATATTTATTACTACATTTTACAGTTAGACTAACTATTTTGTCATAGTTCTTTTTACTAAATAATGTTACGGGTGCCTCCTGGAACTACAGGAAATAGTAAAAAAGTAGTCAAATTTACCAGGTTTTTTTTGTGTGTTTAGAGAATCAGAACAATGTCATGTATTAAGGGCAGATAAACAAGACACAAAGCAAAAAATATTTACCACCTCAGAAAATATCTAATAACAATAAGAAACTTCAAGACTCACAAGAATGACAAAAGAAGAAAAAATAGATAAAAGGAAAATTAACTATATTACAATAATTATTAGTCATTTAAAATCATATACTGGCTATATTTCAACTAAGTCCTTAAGCTGGAAAAATTAGTCAGTCTGCTATAAGATCATGTTTGGAGCAATTCCACTGATGGATGTCCATTGTCAAGAATAATGTAAATTGTTGACAGACCTAGTCCTAGTAGTTATGCATTTTACTAAAGAACAGCCAAAGAGCAAAAAAGGTTGGATCCTTAAATCATATTGAAAGTAAAAAGCAGAAAAGAAGGACGAGTATCGAGCCACAATAAGCTAGGTTGCAAAAGATGAATTTACATAATAAAAAGTTTTAACTATTGATTCAAGTAAAAGAAGTGTTTTTCTACACTGTAAAAAAATATTAACGAGCTGGAACTTACAAAGAGTTAGATACATCAGTCAACCTTTCAAGCGACGGATGAGTAGTAGGGTGTCCCAAAAAAATAAAAAGTTTTTTTTTATTGGGTCTCATCCCCTAAAATTCTTTCAAATTGTGTAAAAATAAGAACACAATATTTGGAAATAAAAAATTTTAATATTAACCCGTGGTTCAGAGCCTTTGAACCATAAAAACGCTAAAAATGTAGTGTTTTT